TTTTCCCATTTCAGACCATGTGTCATTCCTAGAATATAATTTCTTTGTTGAACAGTTGCACATGAGAAGACACATGATGAATATGAACTCAAGCAAAGCTTTTTATTTTCAAGAGATTGACATGACTGGTTTCAAATAGGAAAACATTACGCAAGCCGAAATGTTTTATTTAATTGAAATTGGTGAATATATAAATTGAGTTGAAAGAGAATAAAAGGTGCCTTGAAAATGCATGTTGTTCTAAAGTAAAAACCTTTAATTTTTTTTAATAACAGGTATTGATCGTCTTCATCTTCATATTAAAGTTGCTGCAAGCTGCTAATGGAAGTTCATGTCGATACGATGAAGTGCTTCATTGCAAGAATAGTAATTTCAGCGATTGTAGCTGCATCAAATGCCTTGATTGCCCACCTGGAGAAGGGCTATATCCACAATGTGGGTCTATTGCATTAAGGAGAAGCACAACCATGCAATGCATACCTTGCAAAAGGGGGWCATTTTCAGACCAAAGCGATTTTGGAGCATGTCATCCCTGCCATTTTTGTGCAACTGTTGGACAACAGACCCTAAGAGAATGTACGACAATACAAAATGCCATATGCAAGAAAGGGTCTTGTATGGATGGGTTTCAGTGGAGTTCTATAATTGAAAGGTGTGAACAAGTACCTATTACCCCAAGGAAGGAAAAGAAAACCAGCCCTCAACCCACAACAAGACCATCAACTCATGTACAGCCAACACTAGCATCCTCTAATGCATCCAGCAATGAGGATTCAGGTTCAAATGAACCTGTCACCAAACCTACCCCAATAATAAGAACATCACTCAGAACCCCACAGCCAACCGCTGAACATAAGAGCAATTGGATTAGAATTACATCTTCTATTTTTGGTAAGAGGGACAGTTCACAGTTTACCAATTATTTTTCAGCTTTTGAATAGATTATTGCTTCTCATACTCATGAATATTTAATGAGGAGAAAACAAAGCAAATCACTACTATACTGTGACGGTGGTTTGGATATGTGTTCTTAATTTGCATTAAATTTCGGAAAAACTTTTTATTTGATTTTCTCCAAGAAATATTCCTTAGTTTGAGAAGTAATATCAAACACTTGAGAGAGTTGAATATATACTTCCTCCGATTTCCAAACACCTCAAAGTCAGTTAAAAAAACTCGGCTGCGCCTCCTTTTTTCAACTCACTTTTCAGTGTTTGGAAATCGGAGGAAGAACTCTCTCGCATGTTTGAAATATTACTTAAAGTAGTGTGGGTGAAGCATTATCGGGATTGGACTTTGGACATAGTGGAAGTACTGACCAGTACACAATATGTACTCATTGATCTAATGATCATGAGTATAGATAAAGATATCCACACAGTGGAAGTACTGACCAGTACACAATATGTACTCATTGATCTAATGATCATGAGTATAGATAAAGATATCCACAGTAGAGTGGAAGTACTGACCA